TTAAATGATATAGCTAAGCATGCAATAGTGTGTGGGAATATATAGAATTCTTAGTCAGTTTGATTTTCAGTGGATAAAAATTAAAAGAACTGAAACTAATCATCTTAATTTAACATTATAACAGAAAAGATATTAGAAAGTGATTACACATCATTTTAGATATCCGTTCAAACCGTCTAAAAGTGTTGTTATCCAAAGTAAATGAACTTAAAGAATGGTTCATTTTTATAACCACTCTTCAAAGTATAAATAAATAATTTAAAATTTAAAATTTCTTCTCTTGTGAGTTTTTATTTACAAATTTAATTTAATTTATTATTATGTTTAAACTTAAATTTATAGGTTTGAATTTAAAATTTTTTCTTTTGTGATTTTTTTTATCACAAACTAAAATTAATTATTTATCTCATTGAAACTAAAATTTGTATTTGTTAACCAAATAGTCCATGTATAAATAAACAAAACATTGTTAAATTAAAAAAAATAAATATGGACTATTTAATTAACAAAATGTTGGTAAACAAAAAAACATAGATCAAAGTAGTAAGAAGTTTCTTTGTTAATAAAGAGAAATAAAAAAGAAAGAAAGAGAAAATAAAAAGAAAAATATAAGAAAAGTACCTATAATTGTAGAAGACGTCAACTTTGTAAGCATAGATAAGGTAAAGAAGAAAATATCACAGTGTTAATGTGAATTGAACAATACTTTGTCTTTACATGAGTTTATTAAAGATTGTAAGGGTTTAAAATTTTAATTTTTGAAAACAATTGACATATGACTGCTCTCTAAAAATATATATTAACTTTTCTCTAAAGTCACATTTAAAGAGCAATTACATATTATCTGCTATTTAAAGTTATTTTTATTAAGTAATTATATTATTTTACTCTAGAAGCACTACATAAAAAAACATTAAAGAATAGTTTCACATTATTTTGAAAAATAATTTAAACCGCTCTAACAAATACTGCTATCTAAAGTGGAGGGATAACTGTTCTCCAAAATATAAACAACGAAGCTGAAATTTAAATTTTTTTCCTTAATAAGTTGTCTATTACAAAATAAAATTAATTTATTATTATGTTTAAACTCAAATTTGCATATCTAAAATTTAAAACTTCTTCTTTTATGAGTTATTTTATCACCAATCAAAATTAATTTTTTGTTTTGTTGAAACTTAAGTTTGTATATTGTGTTTACCAAATAATCCATATCTAAATGAATGAAACATTAGTAAACAAAAACAATCAAAGTAATATGAAGTTTTAATATTAAAAAAGAGAAAAAGAAAAAAGAATGAGAGAATTGTGAAAAAGATACCTATAGTTGCAGAAAATACCAACTTTGTCGGCGTAAAAAAGATAAAAAAAAGTAAAGAAGAGGACATCCATGACATTGCTGTGAATCAAGCGACACTTCATTTTTCACATATATTTATAAGTTAAAAGTTATTAGAGTTTCTTAAAATTTTAAATTATGAGTGCATTAGACATATAATCACTTTCCAAAAATAACTTTAGAAAATAGTTATATATTAATTGTTTTTTAAAATTATCTTTAATAAGTGATTATAGTGTTTCGCTTTACAACTAATCGGTTCAAAAGATATAAAATAATATAATATAATAAACTTATTTTTTTTCATCTATATAAGGTAGTGATTTGACTTGATCTAATTTGAAAACAAATTTTAACCTAATTTTGCTAAATTCGAATGGATCACAAGTTTTGTTCAATGGGACTTTAAACCTAGTGTTAATAGCTTAAGGTAACGTTTGGACAGTGAATTTTAAAAAAATATGAAAATAACAATAAAAGATACTTAGAATGAGAGTAAAATATAAAAGAAATTATAAATAACAAATATAAAACATTGAACATAATAAATATTTTTTTTAAATAAGTCTTTTAAAGTTATTTTTGTTTGATAGAAAAGTTATCTAATTAAAATTTAATTATTTTAAAAAAAATTATTTACTATCTAAATACATAAATTCATAAATTGTGGGAATTTTGAAATGTTCTGTCCACAGAAAAAAAATATATAAAAAAAAAATCTAGATCAACTTAATTATGGTATTAGAAAAAATCTCTAAAAAGAAGTCTCCAACTTAAATTTTCATTCCATAGAAATGAAATATCTGCCATCTAATGAGTCTACATACTTAAAAAACTCAAGTGTGAGAAAATTAAGTAGGTAATGTAAGGTAGGAGGAGATAAAAAACAAAAACAAAAACAAAAACAGGTCCAAAAAGAGAAAAGAAAAATAATAATAACGGTGTAGGAAGCTAGGCAATGACGTCACCTATGGGGGAACAACCATCAAGCCATGCGCAACTCAGTGGTCCTTCCTCTCTTCTTTTATATATGCATTATACTCTTTCCATTCCTCTCTCTCCTAACGGAATTTTCTTGTCACTCTCTCTCATCATGTTGTTCTCTTCTTCATAGTTCAATATTCATCTTCTTTTGTCCTTCACCTCAACCTCATCATCATTCATTTTGTCCACTTCTTCGTCATTGCCCTTGTCTTTAACCAATTACAGTGATTATCAGGTGAGCTCATTACTCTCTCTGCATGCCAATTCCAAACATTACAATAAACAACCATCCTCATCGATCATTCCATCTATAATTTACACTACACAATCTTCATTTTTTTTACTTGTTATTATATATCTTCTTTGATTTCTCTAATTTCTACTTAATTTCAGAAGAAATCTTATAAAGGTCTTTTTCATATTTCTTCAAAGCTTTTGTAATTATTTGTTTTGATTTATTTTATCTTCGTAATTTGCTATGGTCAGTGTTTGCCCCCCTTACTGGCGCATGGCTCGTCTTTTGCCATCTAAATCCATGCTGCACATAGTCACACAGTATTAGTCTATGTGATTGAAAATCTAGGTATATAAAAAAATTTAAAAATTAATATAACATGCAACATTATATATCATTTTCCTTAATTAAAGTGTTCAAGAATCTTGTTGATTAGGTAAGGTTAATAGTTAAAGAAATAAAAGTTAACAATTTTGCTTAAAAAAATACATTGAATTAAATTATAAATTACAGTAAGGAAATGTTGATTTTACTTTTTAATAAAAATCTTTTACTTTTAATATTTTAACTGATACTTTTAAGATAGTAACTAACATTTGTCAAAGTGCAAACATCATTTCTCATTTAGTTTATGTGTAAATTTTCACCTCACCAGTTTTTTATATTAATGGTTGGTCATGATGAACCCATATTGAACTAGACGTCTAAAACATGGAAATTTGGAAATGTGTTTGTTCATTGATGCACATTATTCTTGATAAAAACAGAGATAATTAGAAGAAAGAGGGTAGGGTAGGGAAAAAGTTGGAGTTTGGGGTTAGTCATTTCTGATAGTCCCGTCAAGGAAATGGGTTAGATGTGCCATGAAAATTCTCGACAAAGAGACAACAGAGTCAGAGTCCCAGCTTCCACAATGAGACAGACTTTGGTTAATGGTTCACTCAACAGCAGTACTGTGCTTCTGTTCTCTTTCTCTCTTCTCTTCTAACCTTTCCCCCCTTTTTCTTTTCATTATCCCTTTGCCCGTGGCAGGCCTTGATCCAATAGAACGGTGCCTCTCTTTTTGTCCCTCAAGCTTTTCCCTTTCGAGAAACGCGTGCCCAATTTGTGATAACGTCATCCCATCCAACCTGTGCCCATTTTGACATTCTCTTTTTCATATGTAAATTCTCAGCTCTCTATTATTTTATACTTACAAGTTATAATTTTTATTTTTTCATTCTTTAATATATATACATCATTTATCATATTTATACTCTCTCTCTCTCTCTCTCTTCCATTAAGATGTCATTTTTCCTTCAAATTATGACCAGTTTGTACCTACTTCTATTTAACTGAATTTATATGTTTATTTTATATTCTTCTGTTTATTTTTTCTTCTCCATCATATTTATTATTTTATTTTACTTTCTCTCTCTATAAAACATGTATATGTACATCTTTTAGGATATGAAATCATCAATTTTGTTTGTTATATACAAATTAAATAATTTTTTGAAACTATTATAAATTTGCGTTTAATTTTCTAATATTTAGTTTTCATTCTGTCTTTTATTTTTATTTTTTTTATTTTTCTGATTTTCATCTATTTTACACTCATTTGATTTGTATAAAATGAACACTTTTTTTTTTACGAAAAACACAGAGAGAAAGAACTTTGTCATATCTTCTTATTCATCCTTCTAATAATTTTCTTACATAATTTAGAAATAAGCATTAAATAAAAAAAAAAGTGTGCATTTGTCGCCTTAAAAACATAAAAATATATTTAAACCTATTTCTACTTTTTTCTATCAACGTAGTAATTTTTTCTCCTATCATATTAACAAATGTATCTATTAAATATGTTCTGATTATTTGCGAATAAGTATAATTATGAACAGTAACGTGGATTGGGAAACCCCGTTGTTGATGAATCATTTCCACCATTCACTAACACAAGACAACATCATTAGCACAAGCCTCTGGCTGTCCGTTTCTTTCAGACCCTTCACGAACAGAGGTCTAAGCTCTTACTCCTCATGGTTTTCACCAAAACCTAACTCTCATGATTTGGTTCTTTCCTTTCTCTCTCTATCCAGGAAGAAAATCATTGTTTCACAAATTATGCGTTATTGTTTATAACACGCGCTTATTTTTATTTCCTTTTCAATTCAATTCCTTGAGTACTGCTCTCCACCAAATGAGATGATGCTTATCTCTGATAGCATTTGTCACCTTTTCACTAAGAGGACTTGTATTATTCCCTTTTGTTGGGGTTTGCCTTTTTAGCTTTTTGGTTCACTGGAGTATTCTCTCTCTCCCTCTCTCTCTCTTTCTCTCATATACAAATTCTCACACACCCACAGATTTATTTCTTCGTTGCCTATAATTTATGCATGATGGAGAGAGTGAAGGGTGGAGGATATTAATGGTGGTGAATTTGATGCAGTTCCAGTAATTGCTATGATGGAGTCTTGTGTCCCACCGGGGTTTCGTTTCCACCCAACAGATGAAGAGCTAGTTGGTTATTATCTGAGGAAGAAAGTAACTTCTCAAAATATTGATCTTGATGTTATCAGAGAGATTGATCTATATCGTATTGAACCATGGGATCTACAAGGTATATATACACATAAACATAATATATATATATATATATATATATATATATATATATATAGCTAGTGCTACCTATATATATACACACACCCACACACAACTGTATATATATATTGCATGCTTGCATTTTCATGAAGAAATAATCCTTTATTTTTACTCCATTCCCAAACACGGAAATACACTTTCAGCACTCTTCCAAATGAGATTAGGGTTTTAAGGGTCAAATTGACTTAGCCTTTGGCTGTTCTTGAGAAAAAAAAGTATTCACTAGATAGATGTTTGTTGTTGCTATTATTTTGCTTAAACATGGTTGTGAATGATTTGAGTTTGGCAGAGAGATGCAGGATTGGGCATGAGGAGCAGAATGAATGGTATTTTTTCAGCCACAAAGATAAGAAATATCCAACGGGGACAAGAACAAACAGAGCTACCATGGCGGGCTTCTGGAAGGCCACAGGAAGAGACAAATCAGTGTACGAACGAACGAAACTCATTGGCATGAGGAAGACCCTTGTTTTCTATAAGGGAAGAGCCCCTAATGGGCAGAAAACTGATTGGATCATGCACGAGTATAGACTTGAAACTGTTGAGAATGGACCTCCACAGGCAAGCATCTTATATAATTTAACATACATCCATAGTGCATATATATATATACCATATACTATATCATTTTACGCATTGTGTCACTGTTGCTTACTAAATTATTAAGGCTTAGCAAATTAATAATTTTATTAAAAGAATATTTATTATATTTTTAATATAGTAAATATCTTTTAATAATATATACTACTTTTAAATATTCAAACTCAACTATAAAGACACAAGTTAATAAGATTCAATTATTAATTATTTGCGTATTTGTATGTGGCGTGGTTGAATTTGAGATGCTGAGTTCAAACTTAATTGATGAGTGGCTTTAGATGGCTTCCCATTAGTCAATTGCACAATTATCACATATTCCCTACCCTAACCTTTCCCTGTTCACACTAGCGAACAAGGATAGATTTTAAAATTCGAGATCGAGCATTATTTCTAGCATAGTGTTAATAACTTCCAAGTATTTACGTTCACCCGAAACGTCCTTTCTCATGTTAGTTAGTCTCATGGGCTTTTTGTTTCGATATCAATGCAGATTAATTAAGCACTTGATTGGTTCCTCTCTAAACTCATTTTATAATTTGACAGACCATAACAACTTTTGCTTTCGTAGACCACTGACTGAATATTCACCAAGGCACGTACAAGCCTACAGAACTTTCACCAACAAGAAGTCAAAAGGCATTACTTTCACAAGCGAATAATTGAACTTTTTTCCTTTTTCTTTTCTGCTAGACCTTTTCTTGTCAAAAGTACAAATCCATTTTTATTGGTTTTTATGGTAGGGGAAATATTTTGAGGAAGAATGGAAGAGAACTGTCCACTACTCTGATCCAAGAACATATTAATAGGTTTTTTATGTCTACCAGCAAAGGTAGTTTTGCTTTCAATTTTAGGGTAGCCGAGACAACTATGGTTGTTTACTCCCAAAAATACACATTGATTGTCAATTAGCCCACAATTTGCTTGCTTATTTTGAAACATCGATAAATTAAGACTTAATATTTTTTGGATTTTCATTAATATTATAGTTTACCCATATATATTCCAAATAACTATTTTCTTGTTCCACTCCTTGCCCATTAAATTGTCTTAGTAGATCAACATAACAAGTAGCATCAAATGACCAATATTGTTTTAGTGGAAGAAAATTTCTTTAAATTAAGAAAAAAAAATGTTTTTCAAACATGTAGGAATTTTATAGTTATTATCATTTCAACTTTGATTTATAATCATTTCAAAAGTACCAACATCTGTTTAACACATTTCGTCTATCCATCACTTATCACATATCTTTTCTTTTCACATCATATCTATCACTTCTTTATCTTAAATTTTCTTTCTCACTAGATATAAAAAATCTTGAGATGTCTACCAAATATTTGTTTTCTTTTCATTTTAAGATCATTTTTTATTTATCTATAGGCATTTCAATAGTGTTACCATTTATTTCACACTTTTTATCTTTCTTTTATCTCTTTTATCTTATTTTATCACATTATTTATCCCATTTATCGTTTTCTGTCTTCTCATCTTATTTCTCTAAGTATCTACACCAAATATTTTCTCTTATTTCACATTACATGTCTTTTTTTTTTTTTTTGTCTATTCAAATAAATAAATAAATAACTTACAACTAAGAAAGCTGGTTAAAAAACTTAAAAAATAATAATGATATTTACTGTTTCATTTATTAACTGAGCCTTTTCATAGCCAGACCAGATGTAATTAAATTAACTATTTGTTTGCCTTAACGGACTACTACTCCTTACTAAACATGCTGAAAATTTGCAAAAGGAAAACAAGCATAAAAAGATAAACAGAACTTTCACCCTTTTTTTTTCCCATCAAAACATTCAGTTGACCTAGTCAAGTCAAACACAATACATTTTAAGAGAAAGTGAAAGAAGTCCTTGAAAAGTCTCATCTTATTTTTCAAGCTTAAAATCGAGTGTGTGCAGGAGGAAGGATGGGTCGTATGCAAAGCATTCAAGAAAAGAACAAATGGCCTAACGAAGACCATTGAAGGATGGGATCCAAGCTACTTATACGATGAACAAGCAAGTGGTGTCAACTCTTTGGTGGACCCAATTGAGCTTATCTTAAGGCAACCTCAAAATTTTTCAGCTCAAAATTTCTTGTACAAACAAGAGATAGAAGCAGATAATTTGAGCTTCATGCATGGAGACCAAGTGGTACAGCTTCCTCAGCTAGAAAGTCCTTCTTTTCCACTAATAAAGAAACAAAGCTCAATGTCCCTAGTATCAGATAATAACGAAGATGATTATCAATATGGATCATCCTCCAACACTATCAACAACAACAACACAAAGAAAGTGACTGATTGGAGAGCTCTTGACAAGTTTGTGGCTTCTCAGTTGAGTCAAGAGGTGAGGCATGAAACAGAAGGTGTGTCAAGCTTTGCAAACCATTATTCTAGCTCGGACATGGCATTGCTGCTCCTGCCTAATAATAATAATAAGAGTAGGGATAATGAAGAGAACAAGTTAAACCCATTTTTAAATACAAGCTCCGACTGTGACATTGGGATATGCGTATTTGAAAAATGAAGGGATATGCATGGGTAGGATTAATTTGTTGCATTGGTAGTAACTATATAAATGTTTTATGGAGGTTGAGACATGTGATATATAATTTTAATTTGTAAAAATATGTGTGGAGGAGTGAGAATTAATCTCTATGCCCCATCAGCGTGAGACGCTAGTGCGTTGTGTCGCTGTAAATTGAAATGCATGTTGCAGGATCTAAGTAGTTTAACATCTAAATTAGCAAAAAACACGCACTAAGCTATGTTTTACGAGTTCTCTAGTGCCTATAGCACAAAATAGCGATCTTCCACTCTTTTACTGTTATTCTTGATTAAATGCTGTATTCTTTAATTTTGAGAAAAAGAAACATCATCATGTGCCCTTTTAATTAAGTATGTGCATGTTGGAATATTCGGCTGCACTATTCTCTCTTTTTGTTTTGCATTGATTTCAAGATGAAGTTCTTTGTTGGGCTGTTGTTGTTCAGTGGCCCTTTGATACAGAAAGGATACGTTGTTGGTGATCGATATCTATTATAATCAGTAAAGATGAAAAAAAATCATAAAAATTAAATTATCATTACAAAGTCTTAATTTCACATGATAAATTTTATATAGGGTAATAACATTTAACTCTTGATTGAAAAAAGAAAAATTTTAGTTTTTAATTTTTAAAAATATTATGTGTATGGTCTGTACATAAAATGGACAAACTATGTCTATTTTTTTTTTTCAAACATCCTGATTGTTAAAAATGAATTATATATATATATATATATATATATAAGAGATAAATTTTCTTAAATTAATCAGTAAGTAATAAAAATAAATTATCTGAATATCAATATAATTTAATAATGTATCAAAAATTAAATTTATGAATGCGTAATTTCTTTTCTTTTCTTTTTTGCTAATTATGAATGGGTAATTTAAAAATATGAAAAGTTTAATATTAATAACTGAATAATTTAAGAACAAAACTTAGAAAATAGATTAAAGAAAGATCACTCTTGAAAATGAATACTGAAATTTATTACATAAATATTTACTAACAAAAATAAATTATAAAACCATATAGTTTAATATAAAAATTATACTATATATGATTTGTAAATAAATTTTGGGGTAGAAGGGAGCCATAACCCACTTGCCCACTCGGTATCTATCCTTGACAACGGGTATCAATGAGTAAAAATAATATACCAAGCAAAAAGATAAATTTAATTTTTCAATAAAAAAGGGTGTGTGTAACCAGTGTTGAGCTAAAAAAGATCAGTGTAATCATTTCTGCTAAATTAAAATATAATATAGCTGGTAGTGATGGAAGTTCGTTAAAACATATAAGACGAGTTTATCCCAGTTTAAGCATATTAAGGGTGTGTTAGGAGCAATTTTATGCTGTGAAAAAGTAAATAATATTTTAAATTAAATAATTATTAAATCAGAAAAAGCAAAGGTTCATTATTCAATCATAAATAAATTCGACTCAAATTAAAGTCAAATTAATAATAATAATATATTTAATATTATATAAAATATTTAATAATAAATTATATGAAATTTCATTTAAATAAAATTTAAAATTAATAAAAAATAGTTTACTGTGGTGGAAACTCTTAACTTTTCCTTCCACCTTGTGAAATACAAATTTACTGTTAGTCAAAACCCTGAAAATAAGAAAGGTCTTAAAGTCTTTTATCTATGGAGTAATTTAACATATTTTATGTCAAAGAATTAGTTGGACTGCTGGGATGAGATGAATGTTAAATTTTGGTATGAGAATTAGTGTCATGATATTAGTCTTTTATCTAAATATAGCACTATCCTTCTTCTTGTTTTGGATTAGGATACTCCTGGTACTTTATTTTCTAGAAATGGAGTTTGGAATTGGAAAAAACTTGCTGCATGTTGTTCTTCCTTATGGTTAATATTAAACTTTTTTCAAAATTTTGAGGGACCTGATTCTATATTTTGGAATATAACAAATAATAGTACATTCTCTCAGAAATTTGCTTATTCTCTATTATCTCATTATAATAATACTTTTGTTGTTTGTTATAATTTGTTTAATGTTGCTTGAAAATGAGAGAGTCTTCTCAAAGTTATAATTTTTCTCTGGATATTAGTTCACAATAAATTGTTCACCGATATTAAAAGCTGTAAACGAGGTATATCTACTTATCTTTGTACTAAACGTAATGAGGATGAGGAATCTATCATTCATGTTATTAGAAATTGTGTTTATGCTAAGGATGTTTGGGAGTGTTTTATTTATTTTTTTGAGCCGTGGGTTGCTTTTTTAGTAGAGGCATTTCAAATTGGATAACACTTAATCTTTCAAACTAGAATTTTAGTAAATTTTTTAATTAGAGAAATTTATTTGGGGTGATTGTTTAGCACTTGTGGAAGGAGAGAAATAACTTTATTTCTAATAACCATTATGTCCAACCTCTGGGTCCCATTCAGAAAAATTTATCTAATTTATAGACTTTTTCTGGCTGTCATGTTTACCTGATTGGGTCCTTTATGAAGCATGTGAAAGATTAGACTCAGATTAAATGGGCTCCTCCCTTGTTCACAATGGAAGTTCAATATAGACAGGGTTGTTTCCTTGACTATTAGAGTTGCTGCTTATAGTAGCGTAATCAAGAATGCTCAAGGTCAATTCATCTCTGGTTTCTACAAAAAAAAAAAAACTTGATCTTTTTCCTGTTGTAGTTGTTAAACTTTGAAATATCTTGTTAGGTTTGGACCTTATTGCCCAGAAAAAAAATTTACATTATTTAGATAGAGAGTGATTTTAGAGAAGTTTTGCTCTTATCCTTAATGTTTAGAATTATGCTCATATTTTATATTGCTTAATTGATAAAATTAAGAATGTTGTTAAACTTATTCAAATTGTTAAATTTGATCATGTTATAGAAAAGTCAACTAATGTGTTGACCATTTAAGCTAAACTAAGTCTAAATAATTTAAATCATTTTTTGTATTGATTCAACTTCCTCTTTCTTACTTCTCTTTCTTTTTCTTGATTCTTTAGACATTTGGATTCTTAGAATGACTCTTGATTTTTGTGTTTGTTTTCTGAGTTTTTAACCCTTTTGAATAGTAAAAAATAATAAATAAATAGTTAAATAATAATAATTTATAAATAAATATTACATATGAGTCTTTATTTGTTTTAGAATATTTATAATTCAAATATTCAAAAAATTGAAAAAAGTATAATTTTTTTAAAAATAAATTAATCAATTTGATTTTCTGGGCCAGTTCTTGATCGGTATTCAACGACTTCCACCGGTTCAAGACTATAGTTCTAATTAAATTGTTGTTTTAAATTATTTCGGTATTCCAATCCAGTAAGCTGATCAATTCTCAATTGCGCTAGCTGCTATGCTCCGACTTTTTAAAGAGTGAAACTAAATGACTTTTCTCTAAATTTATTAGAATCAAGCTTATTTAAAATAATAATATATTTCATTTTACCTTTTTGTAGTAAGAAAGCTAGAATATATATTTTAACATTCTTTTGTATAAAGTAATTGAAATAGAAATGTATTAGTATCTTTAATGCTAATTTAACTAATATTTGTATAAATGTTTTTTATTAGTTAAAAATATTTTTTATTCTTTTTAATAATTTTTTCCTACAATTTTTAAAATTTTACTTCCTTTATTACTTCTCTCATGTTTAAATTTTTAAAATTTAATTATATCCTTATTTCTCATTTTATATTTGCACCTAATTTTATTAAACATTTTCAATTAAGTTGCCTATGACAAGGCATTCAGCATGATCTCTTGGAATTTTCTTCAGTATATGGGGTGTAGAATGAAATTTAATTCTAAACGAAGAAAGTAGATTCAAACAGCGTTAAAGTTTACCCCAATACCATTTCAGTTAGTGACAACCTCTAAACACAGTTTCAATGGGTAAGTGATTGAGATATAAGAGTCAATGGTACCACTGTGTGTAATTGTTGCAAAAAAATGGACTTTGTGGGTTAATCAAATATGTAGTGAGTAAAAGGTTATTTTAAGCTATTAAAATTGTGAGAAATAATGTGAAAGTCTCACATTTATAGTTCGCTAATTAACGCCCATTTTTTTTATTGAACATGCTTCCTTGTATAATATATGAAACAATAACTGAATATTGAGATGCTTTAAAACTATCCTTGAGGGTGAAAATTAAATTTTTAAAACGTACTCCTCTTATATTTTTTTTTATAAGAAATAAAAGACTAAATTACCAGGACTAAGGAAAACAATTAATTTTATTATATTTTTTATAAATATAAATTTTATTCTAAAAATATCCATGATATTAAATAGTATAGTTAGTAATTTGTATATTTAACGATACTAATAAAAGAATGATATAAAAAAAATTTAGCAATTAATGCACATTGAATCTATCATTTGTTTTTTATAATAAAGATAAAAAAAAATGCTTCATTTTATTTTTTATAAAAAGTACTTGAAGGAATAATTTATTAGAAGTTGCAGTTAATAATTTGTTATTGAAACAATTTGCACTTGTATTAAACTTAAATATTGCATCTCATATATAAGTTGTGTAGATCTTTCTTTTGGCAAGCAAACTACCTTAACTTTTTATCCCCATTCACTTCTTATCCTTTATTACATCAACGGTGATATAAGAAAAAAATAAAATAGAATAACTTTTTATATCCTATTCTATTTCTAACTTTGTTTAATAATATGATATAATAACTATTTATAAGCTCATCTTATTTTACTCATGACTCCAGATTTTATCTTAGGTTTGAATTATAAATAGATAAGATAACATAATATATTTAGTTTATTAGTTTAGAAAACATTAATTGTAGAAAAAAGTATAATTATATTTTACTCTTAATTAATCAATTTTTAACTTGCATCCTAAGAATTTGAATTTATAATATTATAATTCACAAATACACTCTAATATTGTATCGTGTCTCCTCCTTGTTTCTCCTCCTTGTTTTTGTGGTTCTGTCTTCATGGTTTTTGTTC